TAAAGTGAAATGCTATGGTCAGACATGTGTAGGTAATGAGTCGGGATGAAATTTAAATTTAGCCATACATTTCCAGTGAAATTTAAAGTTAGCCATACATTTCCACTGGTTAATAACCAGGGGCTATGCCACATAATTATTTTTAATTTTCCTCATATCTAAAGCTATGATATACTTCTACGATGTACGACGTAATTCCGTCAAAGAATGAATAAGTTTTCAATAAACTCTCTCTTTTTCTTGTGATTTTAAAGGTAACAACGAGTCAGTGGCATGTTCCAAATGACATATGTGTATGACTGGAAGCAGATAAAGCTCCAACATAAAGAATCATGGGTATTGTCATAAACACCTCAGTTGTATGACTAAAGCAGTTACTGCCCCACGGTGTTAATGCACAGACAAATACAACAAAGCACCAAGTGGAGAATATGGTTCACCCCTCTCTTGGTAGCTAGCCACTCTAGAAGCAGTGGTGAGTCCATACTACGTCGACCTCAAACTAGTTTTCACCTGGGGCTAGGGATATCAATAGACAAGCTAAATCCCATATATACTAACTCGGGACAGAAAGCAATACCACACAAATAGGTAAAATCAATTGTAAGTAATAAAGATTCAAATATAATTGCAGGAGAGTGATAAGTGCAAATCGTAGCTATTTTTGTATATACTTTTGTTGTACTTATCGACTATTTGTTGTTAATATCGTTGAATAAACCCAACTTTTGTGTAAATACGTTTAGTTTATACATAATTGAGTTATTGATTCATTTGTGTACTGTTTGATAGATTGTACTTATTTTGTAGGTATTTGTTGCATTTGGAGCATTGAGGAATAAGGTGTCGAAGACACAGCTCTGGATGCGCGTTTTTAGAATAAAAGTACATTTTTGATAAGTTTTGTCCAGGCAAGCGCGCTAAGCGGGAGTTGTAGTGTGCTATAAGTGTTTTGACAGATTTGGCAGAAACGTGATTTTTAGCCCACTAAGCGTGGTTTAGGCAGTTTAATGTGTAAAATAAAGAAGTCGCGCTTAGTGCGCCAGACCCGCTTAGCGCGGTCTACTGAGATTTGTTTTATAACTTCATTTTCATTTCCTTTTAGCTTATGGTTTTGGGGTGACTTTTGTTCTCCCAACTCCATCAACCTCATTTTTCTTAGGTTTAGCTTAGAAAACAACACTAGGGCTTTGCTTATGGATGATTGGAGATGGATTTCTCATCGACCGACACTGACAAACTGAAAGATTTGTGGTTTATCTCTTCTCCTCTATATGCATTTCTCTTATCTTGGGTTTTGTTTGTATTTTTTACTTTGAACTCATGTATATCTGTCGCCCATGGAGTTATATAAAACTTGCTTTACAAATATTTGTCGATTGTTATCCTGGATTTTTGATTCGTGCTAGGGAATTGAGTTGCTATAGATATATACTGCTTGGATTCTTATCTAAGATGATTATCTGTTAGTTTCTGGATTCTAGAGATAGATTTAGAGCTGACATTCACTTAGGGTGTCTGTGATTAATGCCTCTGTGTTGGTTGTGTCGCTCTGAGAGATCATCGACGTGATTAACACGGTTGACTTTTGTATTGTTGATGTTGGTTGAGAGATCGTCACTGAGGTGATACAATGGATGTTGTGTTTGATACATAATGACATTGATGAATATTGTAGGTTGAGTATAACTGGTCGGTAGGTTTAAGTCTGTGAGGAGTGGATTATATGCATGCTTGATAAGTTTCCTCCTTGAAGAATGAATTTATTTTCTGTTAATACCTTTTACCTTTCCTTACAAACAACTCATTCAAACCCAAACTCATTAACGCAAAATTGTTGAACGACAATTCGATACACCAATCTATGTGGACACGATACAATATAACCTAAATATCAACCAGTAATTAATACTTACTTTTTGCTTGCTGCTTTACCGCTTCAATAAAATGGCGTCGTTGTCGGGGATTGTTGTTTATTGGATCACATTGCAATAGTTTCTTTGTTTTTAAGTTTTGTAATTAATGTATATATTGTATAGAAATTGTGCATGAACTTATTTATGTTTACTTGTGAATTTGCTTGTTTATGTTTACCACACTTGTACATATTTTCTATACTTGTGAATTTGTTATATCATTGTTTGGTTCCTTTCACATTTTCTTGTGAGTTGGTTAGGAATAACCGGGTGGAAGCAACTTGGAGGAACGTTCTTATATAAAAGACGCCGAGATTAGGACGTAAAACAAGCATGTTTTTATTGTTTTTCATTTCGTTTAGTTTAGGCAGTGTTATGCATTTGTCTAAACAAATTTAAATCGGGCCAGCTCTAAAATTTTAAATCTTCACTTCTAGATTTGTTTAGACAATTTTCACTCATTCTTTTAGTATGTTTATATTAGTTGTTTTATGTTGTTATTCTTTGTGGAAGTGTGTATGTATTGTAAATGTTGTTTAGATGTGTAAATGAGAATAGTGTAGGTGATTGTGGAGGTTACTTTAGGACTGCAAGTTGTTGTCCTGTTTTTTTCTACTACTTGTATAGTGCGCTTAGCGCGCTCTGCTGTGATCAGCCAGTACATTCTTTTTGTTTCACCTGGTCTCCTTTTTACCACTTTCACCAAGGCTTTGTATTAGTAAATAACATTAGTATTATAATTTTTGTTTAATTCTTTTGTTGTTGTTTGGACTCCAATTTTGGTCCGGTAACTTGAAGAGTTTCAAGGTAATTTTCTGAATTTGATTGATTCAACTTGTGGATGTATGGCAATGATAGTTTTCAAAGTTGGTACACGCCAGGTACTCATTCATCGCTTTCTATACCAGAGCATGTTTAGGAAACTTTTCATTTGTACATTACCATACCATTCATTCTTTTTGCATTACTTGCTCATGACATGAATAACTTTAGTTCAATTTTTACCCCCGAATGTGAGGAAGCTTTCCATTGTTCATATATGTTGGAGGCCACAATTCTTATTTTAACTGGATTTCATTATGTTTAATATTTTGTTTGTGTTGATTGTATGAAAGTATGAAAGTGATCAAGGCATTTTGTTTCTTTTTTAGCTACTTAGCCAAATAGTCAATTCACCTTGTGAGTGTGTGATCATTATTATCCCCTTTGAGCCTTTTTGTCATTGTCCATGTTATTTTTGACCTAATGTTTGCCTATGAGTGTTTAGTTTTCCTTTTTGAATGGACATTGATTCTTTGTTTTCTTGAACCCTCAACTATGAGTTATATTTTGAATTTTTTCCTTGCCTTAGAAAGTAGGGAGTATTCACATTATGATGATGGTTGAATTCAAGTTGGAGAGAGGAAAGTTTATGTGCTTATGTTGTGATTGATATAAGGTTGTAAAAGAAAAGAAAAAATGTGAGAAAGAAAAATAAAAAGAAAGAAAAAAATGAAAAAGCTTTGAAAAATAAAAATAAAAAGAGTATGGAATAATGTTGTGATAATAAGTATGGTGTTTTAGTGTGTAAAATAAAGAAGTCGCGCTTAGCGTGCCAGACCCGCTTAACGCAGTCTGCTGAGATTTGTTTTATAACTTCATTTTCATTTCATTTTAGGTTATGGTTTTGGGGGGTGATTTTTGTTCTCCCAACTCCATCAACCTCATTTTTCTTAGTTTTAGCTTAGAAAACAACACTAGGGCTTTGCTTATGGATGATTGGAGGTGGATTTCTCATCAACCGACACTGACAAACTGGAAGATTTGTGGTTTATCTCTTGTCCTCTCTATGCATTTCTCTTTTGTTGGGTTTTGTTTGTATTTTTACTTTGAACTCATGTATATTTTTCTCCCATGACGTTATATAAAACTTGCTTTACAAATCTTTGTTGATTGTTATCTTGGATTTTTGCTATGTGCTAGGGAATTGAGTTGCTATAGGCATATACTGCTTGGATTCTTATCTAGGGTGATTATCTGTTAGTTTCTGGATTCTAGATATAGACTTAGAGCTGACATTCACTTAGGGTGTCTGTGATTAATGCTTTTGTGTTGGTTGTGTTGCTCTGAGTGATTGTCGATGCGATTAGCATGGTTGACTTTTGTGTTGTTGAGGTTGGTTGAGAGATCGCCACCGAGTTGATACAGTGGGTGTTGTGTTTGATATGTGATGACATTGGTGAATATTGTAGGTTGGGTATAATTGGTCGATAGGTTTAAGTCTGTGAGAAGTGGATTATATGCATGCTTGATAATTTTCCCCTTTGAAGAATGAATTTATTTTTTGTTAATACCTTTTACCTTTCCTTACAAACAACCTATTCAAACCCAAACTCATTAACAAAAAATTGTCGAACGATAATTAAATACACCAATCTCTGTGGACACGATACGATATAACCTAAATATCATCCGATAATTAATACTTACTTTTTGCTTGCTGCTTTACCGCTTCAACAGAGAGAAACCATAAAGTTTACTCATTCATTGAATACATACATGTTGGGAACAAGCACCCATAAAAAAGAATAATTGCACTAGTAAAATCGGTTAATTCACCAGTGAAACCAATTCTCATCTTCCATTGCTTGGAAAAGACGGACTTGCTCTCAAGAGACAGGTTCAGTGGGATAGCAATATTTCCCCTATTTCAAAGCACTTTCAAAATATTCTTGTGCAATAAAGTAACTCTCTTCCAATGACTTCACTTACTCCTTGTACAAGGCAAGGTTCTCGAGGTGCATCTCACAAAGACTCTCTCTAGCCTTTTTCCAACCTTCTTGAGACTCTTTCAAAGACGCCTCAAGATCTTCTACCGTTTTTCGAGCAGGATCCAAGGACTAACTTGTTTCATTAAGATTGGCCTCTTCCCTAGATAACAATGCATGAGCGGAAACTAAGGCCTCGTACTTCTTTTTCACTTCTTGAGAAAGCAACTTCACTTTCTAAACTAGAGTTTTGGGATACCTTAAAGGCTCCACAACAACCTTTATACTAAAAAACAATGTAGACACTCCATGAACCTGTTCCAAACACCAATTTTGCTCAATGGTAAGGGAAATAACTCATTCCTTGAGTGTCTTCTTCTTCGTCTAAAGACGGGTCAAGCAAGAAAACTACCCATTTCCTAACACCTCCAAATGCTAAAAAGGTTGATGCCTGACGGGTGTAGTACGCCAAATTCAATAACTCCTCCGAGCGAGCTTCTTTAGATTTGTTCAGAAAAAAAGAATAATTTTCTTCAAAGATGGAAGGTCTTAGTTCCTTAGTCGTTCCTTGACTAGGGTGAGCTAACAACGCATGAGGAAATCCAATTAGAGCTGACACATGTTCCCCAGCGGACCTCTCCCGAGTACGTTTAGTAAGCGGCATATCACTCGAAGCTCCTCAAGATCGGGATTGGGCCCCATGTTTCCTTCTTCGTCAAGTTGTGAGTGACCCAGAGCATCTTCCACCACGACACGGACGAAAAAATATCGAAATTCCACCTATGCCAGAATAGACGTGCCCTAAACCACCACATTTTTAATGATGGTGGATTATCTGGGAGGCCATGTGCATATACTACATTATTTTCTAACATTTCATATTATCTTTGGGGAAAAGACATACAAATTATAGAAGGGGTCACAAAGTAATATTCAAAAGAGAATAAATTATTAACTAACTTACATAAATTTTCCTTTCTAGCCTCCTTCGAGTCGTCCTCCATGAGTAGGAATGTCTCTAAGATTCACCTTAATTATTTCTTTGACGTCACATCATAAGGGGTAACACCCTGGTCATAACCTAAAGCCTCACACAAATATATCAGCAACGTCTTCAAGAAGGTGTCTTCCTGAGTTAAATCTAAAGGGAATAGCGATACAAAATGCAGACGAAAAAAAACTTTCCCATTAGTACATCCTTACGAATGATGCATGATCAGTGATAGAACAATTATCTCTTGTGGAAATTAGAACCTTTGATGCATAACCAGAGGAACGATCATGGGCATTGAATGAAGAACAATACCTCTACTTAATCCACACAAATACAGTGCTTTCATTCTTAGGTCTCGCTACTACGAATGACAAATTTTAGTGGGAGAAAAAGATAAATTTATGGATAGGGTTTCAGAAAATGAATTTCATCAAATATGAAAGCTTCTGCTCAAGGGTTCTATTTATAGAACCACTTGCTTGGGCTGCAAGCTAAAAAAAAACTTAAGTGCACCATACGGTCCATAACTTATGGTGTACCATATTTCACTTAAGCAAATAATACCTTACCGTATTCCATATTCCACTTAAGTGTATTGTACCTTATAGTGTTCTATAATTCACTTAATTTCACAGTACCTTACGGTGTTCCGTAATTCTCTCAAGTACACCTTATCTTACGGTGTTCCTTATTTGTTCTTTCTCTCATCGATTTGTTCTTATGTGTGTGACCTTGTAGGTTCTCGTGATGTAGGCAGTTATATTAAATCACACATTTAATATAATAAACAACAAGTGATATCTAGAAACACATCAATGCTACCCAAGTCACAAAAATATCATATGATCTGACAAAACCTTTTTGTGATAATACTTGTGTGTATAATTACCCTTTTGCCCTTATGTCTATATTGAACACAAGACATAGGTCGTGTCACCCTTGTCCCGTTTAATAATGGGCCCTATATATTTATCTCGTTACAGAGGACGTGCAAATTCTATCGGGGTCACTCATGTCTCTTAGCATGCTTTGTGGAGTATCCATTGAAAGTGTGAAAAACATAAGAAATAAGGGTTCGAATTAGGTTTCAGGGTTTAAAACAAATTCTTCCCAAGACAAAACAAAGAACACAAGAACAAAAATAAATGTCACATATATTTTTATCATAGTACACTGTTAACAAAGTTAATCCAGTCCACCCGCCAAGATGATTTTGCCTTCTCAAACAAGGACTTAATCCACTATAACCGAGCTTATTACTTACACAATAAAGACCAACTATCAATGTTGAAAACCACAAAGACTACCCGTTAATATCTTCTTGAGAAATTATGACTAACACTTACTCTCTCAAGAAACAATCAACTTAAGAGTTGAAATACAATGAGTGTGTTTATAAAGTTGCTTTTTGAAAGCATATTACACAAGTTTGAATACAATGAATAACACAACAATGTTAATAGCAAGTTGAATGAACAAAATCTCCTTGCTCGCAAGTTAATGAACAAAAGTTCCTTACGTTTACAAAATTTTACAAATGAATATTTGAAATCGAGTTGAGCAGTGTTTTAGCTTAAGTTTTATAGAGAATGAGTTATTATCTTAAATCTTACAAGTCTTCCTTTTATAGCCAAAAATAAACTCGTTAGAGGGTAGAATAGGAATACTTAACTCCAGTTGTTTTGTCCACGACAGTTAGAGAGGGAGTTTTCGTAACTGGGAAAAAAATAAGGAGTCGCCACCATTAATAAAACTAAAACAAAACAAATAAATAATTTAAATTAATCAATTAAATAAATTATTTAAATAAAAACAGGGGGTGTATTTTACTAAGCATCGTAATTCTGGGGGGGGGGGGGGTTTCTAAAAGCAAGGGCTTAAGCCAAGGAATATTGTTTGATCCAATTACGTGGGGGGTGAAAATTATGTTGGAGGTAGTAATAAGGGTGTACAATTAGCAAAGGCCAAGCTCAATAACCAATCTGAGTCCATTGGCGCAGAGGGTGTGTGAATTATATGAGCTTAGTAAAAATAAAGTGTGCGAATAGAAGTGGGCTTGGTCCAGAACAGATTATGGAGTATGTTTTACATTATGTGGGTGAGTGCAGGGCGTTATGGTGAGGCTGTGAGAATTGGAACGTTTAATTTCAATCAAAGGGCTCTCAGGAGTTAATCCTGGAGCATTGATATAAATTAAGACAAACAGAGGGCTTAGATTAGTTGTTGACTGAGGAAACAAAGTAAGCCACATGCATAGAGTACATAGAGAATTATATATTTCATTTTCTCCCATTTTCCTCATTTTCTTCCTTTCTCCGCTTCTCTATCTATTCCTCACTCTCACTACACAAAATCTTAGAGAGAGAGATGGGCTTTGACCTCTCTCTATAACCTAGGCGATTAGAAATTGCCTTGGCTAGCGGCGCTGCCTTGTGCTTCCCGGAGCCATCCTCATAACCATTGTGAAACCCAGATCTCTAGTTGATCTTCAATCGGGATCTTCGTGTGTTCATCCTAAACCACCGTGTCAGCCCAAATCTTCATGAACCCTTTAGAACCCTAGGCTAAAACCACCATGAGTGACCATTGAGGCCGTCGTGAGGGATGCATGTCCACTGGGAACATCATCCCATTTCCAGATAACCCCATGAACCCTAACAACCTATTACCCTTAACCCTAAACCTAAAGAACCCTAACCTTCAATATATGAACCCTAAACCTAATACGAAGAACCTTAAACCTACTACGAACCCTAAACTCCAAAAAATTCCAGAAATTTCCATCATTAAACACCAATCATTCATACCAACACAACAATAACAATGATTAACCCTAAGCTAAGTGGATTAGATTTACCGTTCGTATAGTGATACTTCCTGTATAAATTCCTTTAAGATCTTTCTGGTTCCTCTTCTCTAATCCTTCTTCCTATTTCTTTTGCATGCGTCGAAGATGAACACCAAGGTTTGAAGGATTCACTCTTCAAACTTTCGAATTGCCTCACTTCTCATTCTTCAAATTTCTTCTCAAATTATTTTTTCTTCTTCTCTCTCTTATTCTTAGGTCTTAAGTATTTATAAGGTTTAGAAATAGATGAATTAGTAAATAGAATTTAGAATTGATTTGCAGTTATAAATCAATCAGCTTGTTGATTGATTCAATTTGTTGTAATCGATTAGATTTGATTAAGAAATTAGTAAGATTTTGTTAGAAATTAGATTTAGGGTTTTGAAATTGTATGTATCTGGATTGTTTTGTGTACTGTATTCGTGGTCAATCAATAAAACAAAATTCTCCACCAAATATTTGTTTCAAATTTGATTCGAAAAGATTGAATTATGGGCTTTGCTTGACTTGGGAACGAAGAGTCCAAAAACATGGGCGCAACAATGGATTTAAGGTTTACAAACCCTTGTTGACTTAGTCAACAAAACAAAAATTTTAAATAATAAAAATGAAAACAAATGATAAAATAAAACAAAAGATCAATCTAATAATAATAGTGAATAATAGTAAATAGTAGCAAAAACATTTGAATATAAATGTTGAGTTCAGTCACCAATTCTATAAAATTTAAAATAATTTAATTTAATTAAGAGCTTATGGGCCTAAAAATTCTAATGAACCACTTGACTAATTAACCGAGTGAGATTTATTCGATAAAAATGATAAGTACACCTCTACCAAAATTGAACCTTATTATACTTAAACAAATTTTAAAATAAACAACCAATACAATGTAAATATAAGTTAATTATAATTTTAAACAAAATATAATAGCACCAAAGTTAATAGAAAAATGATAAAATAAGATAGATCGACCAATAACATTAGTAGGGAAAATTTGGGATATGACAGTTGTTCCTATTTAATTACTCTTTGATTGAAGGGTGCGAGAATACGAATGTCTCGTACATTCAGATCGAATGGTTATTAAATAATGGAAGACCCCAAATTTCGACCAATAAAAAGATAAAACTGTATGATGAACCAAAAAGTAAGTAGGCGAAAGTGACGTAGTTAACTCACCAATGCCTTGATCATAAACATAAATGATCAAGATACGACGATGTGGATGACCCGTTAATACTCAGAAAAAGTAATCATAGATTCTGTGTATTTACCATAACCTAGGAGGTAAATAACGCGACCTAAAAAACAGATAACTTATTTCCGCTTCGAGACTAACACAATGAATTATATCGCAGATTTTCGCACATCTACCACAACCTAGGGGGTAGATAATACGAGTTTTAAAAAGTTACTTACTAAAGCTTCGAGACTAACACAGTGAGCTATATTATAGATTTGCAATATTTATCGCAGCTTGGGGATAACTGTAACGCCCAATATTTAATTAAATATTTTCAAATATTTTTTCGATTAAATTTTCGAAGTTGTGAAATATTGATTTAAGTCGTGTCATTCTTAGTTGAATTAATTAGTTGATTAAGTTGTAGGATTAATATTGAATAATACTATTATTATTTATGTGTGTATATTTTAATGTTAGAAGTAGTAGAAGGGGGGTGTAGGAATTTAAGTCCAATAAGACAAAATAAGAATAATAAAAGGATAATATTATTATATTAGTTACTTTAGAAATAATAAGAAGTAGAAGTATAAGAATAGGAGAAAAAATAGGTTTTAGCAAAAGAAGAAAATAAAG